CCCCCCCCCCACGACCCCCCCCCCCAATATCCCCGATCCCCCAGGCTCTGAGAGCCCCTCCTCTCCCCTCAGATCAAGGTGAACGTGCTGGGTGATGTGGTGGAGCAGGGCAGCACCGACTTTGCCCCCGATGCTCGTGCCTTCAGCCTCCATGCCGCCATCTACGCCGCCCGACCCGACGCCCGCTGCATCGTGCGCCTGCACACCCCGGCAACAGCAGCGGTGAGAGGGAGGGAGGGCTGTTGTGTTGGGCTGTATCGCGATATACTGTGTTGTGTTGGGCTGTATCGCGATATACTGTGTTGTGTTGGGCTGTATCGCGATATACTGTGTTGTGATGGGCCGTATAGTGATATACTGTGTTGTGTTGGTCTGTATTGTAATATACTGTGTTGTGTCGGGCCGTATTGTGATATACTGTGTTGTGTCGGGCCGTATTGTGATATATTGTGTTATGTGGGGCCGTATTGTGATATACTGTGTTGTGTCGGGCTGTATTGCGATATATTGTGTTGTGTTGGGCCATGCTGTGATATAATATGTTGTGTTGGGCCGTATTGTGATATAATGTGTTGTGTTGGGCCGTGTTGTGATATAATGTGTTGTGTTGGGTCATGTTGTGTTGTATCTGGCCATATTGTGATATATTATGTTGTGTCAGGCCATATTGCGATATATTGTGTTGTGTTGGGCCACGCTGTGATATAATGTGTTGTGTTGGGCCATGTTGTGTTGTGTCTGGCCATATTGAGATATATTGTGTTGTGTCAGGCCGTATTGCAATATATTGTGCTGTGTTGGGCCATGCTGTGATATAATGTGTTGCGTTGGGCCATGTTGTGTTGTGTCGGGCCATACTGTGATATAATGTGTTGTGTCAGGCCATATTGTGATATATTGGGCTACATTGTGTTGTGTCAGACCATATTGTGATATAATGTGTTGTGTCGGGCCATACTGTGATATAATGTGTTGCGTTGGGCTACGTTGGGCCATATTGGGCCTTATTGTGCCATATTGTGTTGTGTTGGGTCCTATTGTGCCTTACTGGCCCATATTGTGTTGTGTTGGGCCGTATTGGGCCATATGGCGTTGTGCTGGGCCATGTTGTGATAAAATGTGTTGTATTGGGCCCTATTGGGCCATATGGTGTTGTGTTGGGCTGTATTGTGGTATAATGTGTTGTATTGGGCTACATTGGCTTGTGTTGGTCCCTATTGGGTTGTATAGGATTATGTTGGGCCATATTGTGTTGTGTAGGGCTGTGTTGGGCCCTATTGGGACGTATTGTGCTGTGTTGGGTCCTATTGTGCACTATTGTGCCATATTGTGTTGGGCCATATTGTTATATAATGCCTTATATTGGGCCTTATTGTGTCCTATTGGGCCACACTGTGACATATTGTGTTGTGTTGGGCCATATTGTGATATATTGTAATATGTTGTGCCATATTGGGCCTTATTGTGCCAGATTGTGTTGTGTTGGGCCATATTGTGTTATGTAGGGCCATCTTGGGCCATATTATGCCATATTGTGTCGTGTTGGGCCATATTGTGATATAATTTGTTTTACTGTGCCCTACTGGGCCATATTGTGTTGTGTAGGGCCGTATTGGGCCATATTGTGTTGTATTGTGTTATATTTTATTATATTGGGCTATATTGTGCCCTACTGTGCCTTATTGTGCCCTATTGGACCTTATTGTGCACTGTTGTGCCATATTGCGTTGTGTTGGGCCATATTGTTACATAATGCATTATATTGGGCCGTATTGTGTCCTATTGGGCCACACTGGGCCATATGGTGTTGTGTTGGGCCATATGGTGTTGTGTTGGGCCATATTGTGATATATCCTAATATATTGTGTTATATTGGGCTATATTGTGCCAATTGGGCCTTATTGTGCCCTGTTGTGCCATATTGCGTTGTGTTGGACCATATTGTTATATAATGTGTTTTATTGTGCCCTATTGAGCCATATTGTGTTGTGTAGGGCCATATTGTGCCATATTGTGCCCTATTGTGCCATATTGTGATATATTGTAGTATATTGTGTCGTATTATGTTATATTGGGCTATATTGTGCCATATTGGGCCTTATTGTGCACTATTGTGCCATATTGTATTGTGTTGGGCCATATCGGGCCATATTGTGTTGTGTTGGGCCCTACTGTGCCCTATTGGGCCTTATTGTGCACTATTGTGCCATACTGTGTTGTATAGGGCCATATTGGACCATACTGTGCCATATTGGACCATATTCTGCCCCATTGTGCCCTATTGGGCCATGTTGTGTTGTGTGGGGCCATATTGGCCCATATTGGCTCATATTGTGTTGCGTTGGGCCACATTTTGCCCTATTGTGCCACGTTGTGTTATATTGGGCCATATTGTGCCATTTTGTGCCATCTTGTACCACCTTGTGTTGTGTCATGCTGTATGGTGCCCTATTGGGCCATACTGTGTTGTGCTGGAACATATTGGGCCATGCTGTTTTTACCTTGTGCCAAACTCTGCCATATTGCTCTGTGATACCTCGTGCTGTGTTGTTTTGTGCCCTATTGTGCCATATTGCGCCCTATTTCTCTGTGCTACCTTGTGTTGTGCCGTGCCATATTGTGCCCCAATGCTCTGTGCCACCTCATGCCATATTTCTCTGTGCCACGCCATGCTACTCCATGCCACAGGGTGCCATGTTGTGCTGTGTCACGCTGTGCTACTTTGTGTTGTTCTGTGCCACATCGTGCCGTGTTGAGCCATGCTGTATTGTGCAACTTCATGCCACGTTGTTCTGTGCCATATTGTGCCATATGACTTCGTACAGTGTGCTGCTGTGCCACGTTGTGCTGCTGCGCCACGTTGTGCTGCTGTGCCGTGTTGCCCCATTCCATTCTGTGCCACTTTGTGCCACGTTGCTCTGTGCCACACTGTGTTGTTCCACAACACAAGTCTGTGCCAACGCTGTGCCGTCTCGTGTCAGTTTGTGCCACAGTCTTGTGCCACCCCGCACCGTGCCACGCTGTGCCGTATTGTGCCAAGCTGTGCTGTGTCCTGCTGTGCCAGCCGGTGCTGTTCTGCACCACATTCTGCCTTGCTGTGTTGCCTTGTGCCACACTGCGCCATGTCGTGCTGTGCCATGCTGTCATGTCGCACCGTGCCGTGTTGTGCCGTGCCACGTGGTGCCATACCGTGCCGTGCCACAGGTGTCAGCCATGCGCTGCGGTGTGCTGCCCATCTCCCGTGCTGCGCTGCTGCTGGGGGACATCGCCTACTTCGATTTCCGTGGTGAGGTGGAGGACGAAGCCGACCGGGTTGAGCTGCAGAAGTGCCTCGGCCCCACCTGCAAGGTGGGTCTGGGGGGGTCACGGTGCTGGTAACAGCCCCCCCCCAGCCCCACACACTGTGCTGATGCTCCTTTGCCACCGCAGATCCTGGTGCTGCGCAACCATGGGGTGCTGGCGCTGGGCGACACGGCCGAGGAGGCTTTCTACAGCATCTTCCACCTGCAGGCAGCCTGCGAGGTGCAGGTGAGAGCTGCCCCCAAAATGGGGGCCTGCGGTGCCCTGGGATGGTGCACTGAGCTGTGCTTGGTCTCAGCCATCAATGCAACGCTCCCAGCACTGTGCACTGAGCTGTGCATGGTCTCAGCCATCAATGCAATGCTCCCAGC